GCCTAGATACTTAAACTGTGCAACACGCCTCAATGGTATTCCATTCAACAAGATTGGAGGTACATAGGCCGGCTCTTTAATCTTGCCTTTGAATAACAAAAACTCACTCTTCTTCTCGTTGTACCTTAAGCCGTGCCGCACAGCATAAGCCTCACAATGGCTCAAAAGTTTTCTTAAACCTCCAATCGAAGGGCTGAGCAGCACCATGTCATCCGCATAGCTAATGCTAATAAAACAAATTACGATTTACTTAAGTTGACAAAAATCATTCTGTTTTTGCGTTGTCATAAGAAGCTTTACAACTTCCCCAAGCCAACATGGACTAAGTTAATCAAGAGCTTTTGTCTGAAAAACTCAAGCACCCGAGCTTAGCTTTATATATACGTGTTGGGGTAAAAACAAACAGATTTTATATTGCCCAGGAAAAATCTCTAATCAGGTCACGACGCGGCATCCGAACGGAAAACAGGGGCCTTACCATGAATTTTCATGAAAAGTCACTTCGAACAAACATTATCAAAATTCATAAAAATATGTAAAGCGTAAATACTGAATGACAAAGGTAATCCTCACAAGACAATACAGATTTTCAGAATTAAATCTTGAAATGAACGTTTACAAAACAAAACTTCGAACTTCATCTTGTGCCAACGATTTGTCAAAACTTTTCCAACACTCGTCTTGTATGATAATGGCGCAGTCATAGTAAGGCCTTTGGTCTTTAGAACATATTGAGCCAGAGGATTTACGTGTCAGTCTGCTGAATACTGAGCCTTTTAAAATATTCAACGGGATGCCCGGAGAAACAGAGCGGGAGGAGTAAACAAAACATCATTAAAGCCCCCAAAGAAAAAATAAACTCACGGAGAGCGAAATCATTTAATTAATTAAGAAGAATTGCGTCGGGCATAATGAAATGTACTTAAAATTATAAATGCTACAGAATTCTGGTTAATGAAGTTAGGATTTTAATATTGCACGTGCCTGGTGTTTGTGATGGATTCTGTAATTTATTTATTGCTTTTCGAGTTTAAGAACTTTTACGTCTTTTTAATTATCCTATTCAAGCTATGCACGCAAACGTGAGCGGCAAAGCGTATATAAAATACGTATAGCTGCCGTACCCTCCCGACTGCCACAAGCAACTTGTAATTTCGCTTTATCGGATATTTGTACCACGTTATCTTGTTTGTATATTTATCAAATACTAGGAAAAAACTTCACACGAACAACATAAATTTTCAGTAAATATTTTTTCAACTACCAACCTAGTTAAAAGCGATAAAATTACCTCTCCGTAACAGGGTTGTTGGTGATGGTGATTTTTAAATATATATATATATATATATTTTAAAAACATGCGAAAAATTATAATAATCAGAAAGTTCATGCAGATGGAAGAGGACGATGTAGGATCTTATTACACACCCACCACATACTCGTAGATACACGCCATACTACATTTACTTGACTTCAGTCCGTAAATGTGGTTCAAACCGGCTAACAAGCTGAGAAAAATAAAGTTAAATAATAATAATAATGTTAATATTAATCTAACGCACACACTCAACATAGCCTCGCACTAGGGAGACCCTGTGTCGCGGGTGCCATGGACACACACATAGACAACCACAAATTACACCAAAACTTACGAGAGAAGTAAATGTAGGCCATACAAATATTTCTCCCGGCCCGAGAATTGAACCTGGGACCTCGGCATGGCAGTCCGATATGGTAACCGTTCGGCCACAGAAGCAGTTGAAAATACACATCCTTACTCTACTCTCTACCCTATTTACATGAAAAAGCTTTCTATTTTCTTTGGTATTGTAATAAATTATTATTTCAATGATTTCGTGACGTATATTAACAAAAGAATCAATCTTCATGAAAACAATCAATCTACCTAGCTTAATCGTTGTGGAATTTTATCAAAATTATATTTTAAGGACAACAGCTGAGCTCCATTTTCGGCTTACAGACTGTTTCTGGAAGGTTTGTTAATTTACAAACCTTCCAGAAATTATTCCGGCGTGCCTTTTAGGTCAGGTCACGACTCAAACACCCGCAATGAAATATCAGCATCGATTAATGCGGATGCTGATGCTGATGTGGATGCTGATATTCGCAACAACCCTGCTCCATAAATATCTGGATCAGCTGAGGTTTCATTTTTCTATCTGCAAAATGGTGGTAAGGTGAAATATTTGACGGCATTCGGGGACATAGGCCGAAGCGGACGCAGTTAAATGGTGCAGAAAAATGCAAATTTGTACATCGCAATTCCCACCGTAAACCATCGGCAACAAATACCTGTCGTATGGATTTGCATTATACTGGTGACGTAATCGATTGGAATTTTGTTTACCATGGGACCTGCAAAGGGGCCGAAACGTTTTTGTTTGAAAAAACAAATATACGCGATTTAATTCCGGAAAAATAGTTTCATTCCTATATTAAAAATGTATTGATACAAAGTTCGAACACTTACAAAGAGCCTTGTCCCTGTTTCGTTAGATCCCAGTTATCTTTTCCATCATTCTCACTCCTTTACTGTTCATGCGGTCAGACTTTGGGACGCACTTCCCATTACTGTGTTTGATAAATACTTAGCTATCTTTAAAATGAGAGTCAATGAGCACTATTTATCCTCTGTTCCATCCATTTTATAGATATTATAATATGAAACATGTACTTATCTAAGTATTTATTCTGTAGTAATTTAACATTTTTGCTATTTTTTTACCATTATTTTATTGAATAATTTGATTTCCTTCTGTTGTGCACGCATACCCGTTATTGTAATTATTGTGTCCTATATTTTGACCTGCAGGAAGAAATTTCTTATAAAAATAAGCAGTATCTATAGTTTGTCTGTGTTTTCCGTTTTACTAAATGTGATTTGTGTTTTCGTGTTCAATAAATAATATAAATAAAAATAAATGAAGAAAAATTCCTTCAAACCGGCAGGCTTTGACTTTTTCGCCAAACCACTCATCGCTCTTACAACTGAGATACAGAACAAGTTAGTTTAAGAATTTGATGACAAACTACACAAACTATGGGGAGCATTTTCACAAAATAAAAATCAGTATTATAATAACAAAAACATTGTGATATTCAATAAAATCATCATGAAACTTAAGAGTTATACTCTTGCCGGTGGAGAATCTTCCAATCATCTCTCCTATAAGCCTATAAAATAAATATTGAAAATGTAGTTTGCCTACCTTGTCGTATATTTTGCCTTAATTTGTCTTTTTTGACAGTTACAATTGTCGCCATTGCCGAATTTTTTTCAACGAGAAGATTTTTTGGATCTTGGAGGCTTATTTTCTTTTACATATTCAGTGTCCGAGTGTATTTTATATTCCTTTTATGAATAAATTAAATATAGTACAGAAATTATAATGTTGATATAAAATATTTTGCAAATGGTATATAATAGCGTAAATGGAAATGTTTTTTGATAAATTGAAAATAAGGTATTTAATTAAATAACTTTTGTAACTATTATGCAAAATAGGGAGGATTTGCATTAATATTAGACATAACTGGTTGATGACTTTACCATCTCAGTCAGCCGTGACTGCGGGATCCACAGAACGCATAGTGGTGGGATCCGTGAAGAGAGATTTATATACACGATTCCGATCCGAAAAACTAGCTTCATTTCCACGGAATATGAATTGATATCATTTTTCAAATATATTAATTCCTATTTAATTTAACATAATTTTAATATTATGAAGTGTTATTTGATACATTTTATAAATGAATGACGCACACTCACATAACCTCGCACTAGTGAAACCATGTGTCGCGGGTGCCATGGACACACGTAGACAACCACAAATTACACCCAAACTCACGAGAGAAATAAATGTAGGCCATAAAAATATTTCCCTCGGCCCTTGAATTGAATCCGGGACCTCTGCATGGCAGACCGGCATGGTAACCGTTCGGCACCAGGCAGTTATACATCTATTTCAAGTATTTTATACAAACATCAAAAGGAAGCCGAGATTCCTATCAACACTCTTTACCTTCAGAAAATTCTTTACCCACTCAATGTAGACGCGCGAAGTATGCAAATATTTGAAGGTATAAGAGAAAATATTTTGCTATTGCCGATGTAGTCCATCTCCTCGGAGCAAGCAAATGTTTGCTTCTAAATAAACTGTTGGAAAAACGGAGAAAAGACACACCGGGGAGCTAAATTCGGGACTACGCGAACATTCCCTAAAGCATTATAAATATCAGCCCACGCGCCGTATTAACTGCCACAAAGACCGCAACGCCGACAACATAGCCCTTTTTTCCATGAAAAGTTATAAGTAAAATTCGCCGCTTCTCTTGGTCTTTTGGGACATTTTGTTTCTCATCTTATTTATGACGTTGTAAAACTGTTTTAATTGTGTTTAAGTTTCATCTTTAAAAACTATTAGGCTACCAATGGTTTGACCTACCACCTCTCAAACAGAGGCCGTGGGGTCGAATCTGGGTTCGCACTTCTGACTTTTTTGGAATTTCAACCCCTCAGTAGTGGGACGCATAAATGGATTGATGGTGATACCTTAACTTCGAGGAACCTATTAGACATCTCCTAATATTTACAAGTCGCAAAAGATCATGTACCCAAGTACTCTGAATTTGGTTAAGATCGCACAGCTATTTGGTAAGATGTTTACCAACTTTGATCATCTAATGTTGTTTGATTTTTGTTTGATCTCCTTTAATGAATGTCTGAAATATGCAATCAAATCACTCTCGAGTGAAAGGAAGTCATTTTCGGGTGAAACTAATTTGCCGGACATAAAGTGGACTATATTTGCTTTTTCAAACCAACATTCGATGTCTTTCCAAGACTCAAGGACCTGTAAAGACCGCAATATACTTACTAAGTTATTAATAGCTATTATTTAATTAAAAATTTTTAAAACTCTTTAACTAACCTGTAGAGTGTTATAGTTTTTGAAACACCTTTTCTTTCCCAACAGCTGGACTGGCTACTTCTAGACAACATGCCAGTGGTACCATTGGCTGGGCTGCGACGTGTCCTCGCCAATGGCTCCCTGGAGCTGATGCCATTCCCAGCTGAGCGGTACAGACACGACGTACACTCCACCACGTACAGATGTCGTTTGAGATTAAGCAGTGGTTTCGTTGTACTATCGAGGAGCATACATGTACATGCAGGTAAGTAATGTTTATTTAAAAGATCGCACAATGCAACCCACAAACAGCGCGTACGTATTCCACGGTTTTAGAAATAACACGTCATAGCGACGCGGGCGTTTGCGTATAGGGCTTTCTGTGAACCGCATTTCATATTCATCTTTGCTTTAGTACAATATTACAAAGCTATTACTTATTCTTCAAATATTTTATTTTTATTTTGTTGATTGTCTCTGTTGGGAATAGAACCGACCGAATGTCAAAAAAATTCTGTGTTAAAATCATAACGATCCATAAAATCAATTATAAGGATTAATTCCGTATCAGTAACATACTTGCAACACCCTTTCGATTTTCATGCCATGTCCCATTGTCGTGTGACGTCCTGTATATAAACATCTTTTGGTATACAACAAGTCGATCAGGAATCGGACATACCGATACCTCCAATGAATACTATTTGCCCTAACTTAATTTTTAAACCTGTTCTGCTTCTTTTTTTCACAAAATTCGTTTTTTTGTTCCTTTTTTCGAATTTTGTTTCGAAATTCGAAGGCATAATATACGTGAATAAATATGGTTGTTTACAAAAATAACAGAAAATGACCACAAAACAAAGTTGGCGTAATGTTCATACGAAGTATCGATACGCTCTTTACTTATAATAAAAAAGGCAAACCACGAAAGAAAAAAGCAATGGAAGGGCCTAACCTCGATTACTATCAGAACCGCTGCTGCTAAAACTCACACTATCATATTGTTAAACATTATGAAATCCTTATAATAATTGGCCGTAGTTTCTAATTTAAAAAGATGTAAAAAGCTCTGGACTGTTAATATAATTTAAACTTTACCCAGTTGGTAAATCGTTGATAGTTCAACACCTGTTATTGCAAGTCACGATATTTCCATTTTGGATTGACATTTCATTCAATGCGCTGCCATCTAGCGGCAATAGGTGAAAGATGACGAACGATTACCGCCTATTACCTAACATGGTTAAAAAAAGTCGACCATATTTAATTTCGTATATTTAATAGTCGACCATATTTAATATTAAAAACAGAAAATGGAAAATTTATTAAAATTAAATAAAATAAGACTTAACGATGACATGAAACACCACTATGGAGACACATTACGAGTGCGACTATCATTTTTGCACTCCAATTTAGCAAATTAAGACATTTTTCCAAGATTATCGAGGTTTTGCACGAGGTAATTGACACGACTATAACGTACAAAGCGAAAATGATGGCCTGAGCTCAAATATGAGGAACTCTGCGTACTGTTGGTACGTGTGTCGCGCTCACTAAACACTTCTACTGTATTTATTGTTCTGTGCGGCAAACCAACATTCTTTAAAAACTTAATGGATTCCATAGATATCGTCATGATAGTATATAAACTATGTATACAATAATCAACTCATCTATTTTATTTGCATACTTACTTCGATCCTGTAGTACATTAAGCCAGCACAATAATCCATTTCAGTCCTTGTAGGAGGAAATTTCACCTTCACTTTTATAGTTATGGCAACGGTATCCTTAGACTGTCATGACATCGTTTTCCCAGGGCGACCGTCTACTCTCCAGAATTTCCCCTAAATATAAGTATATCATATAAGTAAGTATACAAGAATAAGTATTCATTATAGTCAATAAAGTAGTGTCAGCCAAATTTTATACCGACTTCAAAGAAAGGAGGATGTTCTCAATTCGACTGTTTTAATTTCTTTTTTTCGTAACATACACCATGTTACGAGATATTGTGAACCGATTTTGATGATTCTTTTTTGTTGGAAAGAGAGTACCTTAAGCATGGTCCCATTTCAATTTGAAGAAAATATTCCACTTCTGAGGTTTGCCACAAACTAGGAAATGAATGCGGTTTCGCGCAATTTTCTGTATCTGATTTCAATAAAACTTGGTAAATAGATGTAATTCCACGTACTTATCAGGTCGATTTTTTAAGTACTCTGTACTGAGATTAGTTATTTGAACAATTAAACGGATCTAGACAGTTTAAAGAAATTAACCTTCTTACACAAGTGTAACGCTAGCGTCACAGTCGTTTATGAAAATATTATTTATGTTATGAAGAATAGTAACTCTTTTGTAAAAAATGTGACAGATAACAAAATAAACTAGCTTGTCTTAACAGTCGTCTTCATAAAGTCACAGATTCTTTTAAGGGACTAAGGGTATACGCTTCTTTAATAAGGTTCCTTTTTTTAATGATACCAGTGACGGGATAAACAAGTTGTGAGCCTCGTTTTAAGCGAGACACGCGTTCATAGCACTCCCAGCGCTTTAAATTGCAACAATCTAAAAGGGCACTGCCACTGCGCCCATCACGCTGAGACATAAGCTGACAAGTCTCTTGTACCTGTAATTTCACTAGCATCCTTGCCCTTCAAAACCAGAACGCAATAATGCTCACATTACTGCTTGGTGGCAGAAATAGGTAAGCTGGCAGTACTTCCTTGGACGGGGCTGGTGAAATTACAGGCACTTGGGACTTGTCAACTTATGTCTCAGGGTGATGGACGCAGTAGCATTGCCCCTCAGCTCTTTGCGATTTAAAGCTCGGAATGGCACTGCAACTGCTATGGACAGGTGTGTAACTTACCATCAGACGCAAGACTTGTCCGTCACGCCACTTAAAAAAAACACATTCGCATAATCTCGCGGTGCATTCGCATTGCGTAGTGCTGGTCGTCTCAGGCGCCTTTCTTTATAATGCGAATGTGTGCGTCCGTACACGGCGTGCAGCGAGGTCGCTCACATACAAGCCGCGCTACTACGTTGTAAGGAGTTACCGTACTTGTTTTATTATGCTGTAATAATACGAATAACAAAATGTGATCAAAACGAGTATAATACCGAACCTTATTTATTAATTTTCTAGTCGTAAATCCAGCGACCGCATTTGTACTTAATAATATATGCATAGAAATACTAAAGACATTTTACCCTGATGTATGATATATCCTAACCTCAATAATTGATTACTCCCCAAGCTCTCCAGATAATTCACATTTACATCTATTATATATATATCATTTACCAGTAAATAAGTGAATGTAAATATGTTCCTTGGAGAATTACTCCCATGCTTCAATGCTATATGTTCATTTTATCTTTTGAACTTGTTTTCTTTTAATTATTTAACCTTTGGTGTCCTACTTTCGATCAATAAACGTTACAATTGTAATATTTCGCCCAATTATCTTGCCAGGCCTCCTGAGACACCCATAAAAAATTGTCCTTCTGCGACTTTTACCTGGACATCGGCGGCCATCTTCTGGAACCACTTATAATTTCGTAGCCTTTTGCATTTAGTTTTTTCTTTCACATATGATTGTAAATAGTTATAAAAATCATATCTCTATTTAATAAGTAAGCAAATTATACTTGGAATCGTCAAATTGTTTACACAATACTCGTTCCAGAGATAGGTTTCTCTCGTGAGAAAAGTGGATAACAAACTTTAAGGGTTACTCTTTGTAAATAGATATTTGTCTAAATTTATCACTCATAATATTTATTTTATATATTATAAATAGAAAAAACGTTAAAGTTAAAACTAAATGGATCACTACCAAATATATTATTATTATTATGTGGGGAAATTCTGCCAATGTTAACGATGTATTTATATTACAAAAGGAGTGTATCAGGATATTGACAAATATAGAACAGAGAGAATCATGCAGACTTATTTTTCAAAAATTAAGCATATTAACCTTAACAAGTATATACATACTTGAGTCGTGCAAATTTGTAAGAAACCATCCTACTTTATTTACTTACTTACTACAATAGAAACCTACATCAATTGAAAGTACAATTTTCTAAATTAAAATTAGTTTGTTAACTAGAACTACAATCACATACCAATCCACATAAAAGAAATTAAGGAATTTAAGATTTTCTCTAAATATTAAAAAGACTTCCTTATAAATAAAAGTTATTATAACATTCAAGAATTTTTCAATGATCAAAATTAATTAAAAATAAGTATTTTGATGACATCCTTCTTTTTAATCAATTTATCTGTGTATGATATGTGATGATTTATTTAATATGGTGTTTACCATATTGAATAAGTCATCATAAATAATATGATTGTACCTCTATATGATGACATATGTATGATTGTAAACCATTATATTTACCTACTAATAAGTGAGTGCCCTCTCTACTCTGCTGTGCCCTTACAGGGTGTCACATGTACACTTACAAACCACTGTACGTAAATTATTAATAAGTGTGACAATGCAATAAATAAATAAATAAATAAATAAATATTTGTCACCTTTTGTGTAAAGTCATAGTTTCCCCTTTAATTTCAAATCTCGTAAATAGCAAATTTTGAATGAACAGGAATCTTTATATGAAATGAACAAAAGTGTTAACATTGCCCCTTAAATTAATTCGTGAAGAAATTTACCAAGAACAACCAATTTATTTTGATTCCTTGTATTACTTAAGGGTCGTGGCTTCGCATCCGGGCTTGGTCCTCTAAGTTTTTTAGAAAGTATGTGCGTAATGTAATTGGAAATTTACCATAAGCTTTTCGGTAAAGGTAAACATTGTGATAAAATCTGCAGGTTCATAACTCGCATAGGACCTGCGTGACGGACAATGGCCTAAACTTCGCCTAGGAGGAAACCCGTGCCCAACAGTGGGAGGCATAAATGAGTTGATGCTGATAACGATGATGGTATTAATCAGACTAAAAATTACTATTCTACATTTTCACAAAAGTACAGTGACGTCAGGGTTAGAATGTCAATTTGTTTAAACCAATCTTTCGAAGACATTGGGGCCCAGTTTGCAAATTGCACTAATGGTATTTTTCTGCATGACAGCATTATCCAAAAGCAAACTGCCTTATGTCATCAAAGTAAGAAAATATGGAATTTTCTAACTAAAGTAAGCCATTATAGGGTTTCTAAACGTAAGAGTTGAGGCGTTTCGCCAACTTAACTAGGCGAAGACCCCATTGCAATTTAACATCTAAAGTGGTACCTAAAAATACTACTTTGCCTAATACTCATTTCTATGATACTGAAAAAGAAGAAAAAGTCTTATAAATAGATGAGTCTGTCTAAGATTAGGTCATGTAAATTTCACACAACTTGTTAATTTCTCATTTAGAAACAAGTTTTCACCGCAAACCGTCTAACTACGTTCGAAATAGCGTTCTTTGCATCGTCTCAAGAATATTGGTGCCATTTAATTTTAAATAACAAGGAAGAAGGCTAGATTAGCCATTTTTTCTCTCCAGTCCCTTCATGTATTCCCTTATTGCACAGTGTTGTAATTTTCCTATGTTTATATATTTATTATAATACTATTTATTACTTATTTTATTTTCCAGAAAAGTACATAACATAAACTTCGTTATTATATTGTTACCTATATAATGTTATTAGTATTTATATGAACAACTTCCATTGGAAGTTATTTTTAGTTGCACCCTCCTTCCAACTAAATTTCTATCCTAAGGTTGCCTGGAAGAAATAGTAGCTACTTAACAATAAGGCCGCCTGTTGTACATTAACTTATTCTGTGATACATACTTTTCTTTTCTGTGTTGTCATTGTAATTATTTAATGTCCAACAGAATATTTCGTTCATTCATTTAATTACTATAGACTAATTAGTATCTGTCACAGACCAATTATTATTGATATCTATGATCAAGAGGGTATAATCTTACATAAGTTGAAACTTTCATTCTAATTTTTCGACACTTTCCGTTGAAAAGAACGGTCAAAACCAACATCCAAAATAAGGCTACATAATTGCAGAAACCAACAATAATGTAAGTCCACATGATCCTTGGAGACGTCGTAAATCTTTCCTAGCTCAAGGCCAAACTACCAAAACAGGTCGAGAACTTTTAGGTAACATTTAGTTTCGCCTATTCCTAAGTCAAGACGTGGTCGTTTCTTGTTTCTTTTACAATGAGATATATTTTTCCTATTTTACTTCAGAATAGTTACGTATTTTGAAATCGCATTTTCATGAAAATGTAGAGAAGAATTTATATTTTAACAATACACAACAAAACAACTTTTATTCATGGGTTTCACATTTGATTTTATCATTAACTCACTTTGTATAGGTATGTACACGAGCATTACCATTTATACAAATGTACTCGGCCGATAAATTATTTTCGTATAAACAAAAGTACCCTTTCGTCTGGCAGATTCGGATCTCAAATCGATTTCCCTATTTGACCTTTCCTGTGTGTATACTTATGTTTGTATTGCATAAGTATGGGCTTTTATTTTCATAAACCCTCTGCATAAACGATGACCAATGAAATATGTATACAATACATGAAACTTTTATTTTAATTATATCGGGACAGGCGTTTATATTTTCTTCAATGGTTTCATTTTCTGACATTCTTTTGCAGGAAATCGTCATTTCTTCACATTGGCTATTTCGAAACTTTCTTTTTGTTTTAAGTTTTCATCTACGAGTATTTATTTGAATAGGCAAAGGTGCCACCGTACAGCCTCTTCATATATAAAGGTGCCTCTTCATATATAATGCGCACTCACATTAAAATAAAATAAAAGTAAAAAAAAATGGCATTTAGTTTGTAGGTCAATGTATTTAGTTGAATATTATGTGAGAGGCTGTTAGTTTCAGATAATTATTATTTTGATATATTATTTATGTGAGAGACTGTTCATGTTTATCATTGACAATGTCGGTCAACGGCAAGCAACAACCGCAGTGGTGAAGAGAGAAATTGAGAAATCTTTTTACCTACTAAATTGAATTCTTGTTCTATTTGTGATTTTTAGTTTCGAATCTTTGTTCGCAGCTTTAAACATCCCGTGGGATGTCCACGTGCCAGACGAATATGTAATATCTGGCAACGCGGCGATACTGCGGTGCATAGTGCCAGTGCACTGCTTGGACAGAATCGACAGCACTGATTGGCTGACGGATGAGGACGTCAGTGTGTTTAATTATTTAGGTAAGATAATGGACGTTTTGAAATATACATAAGTTGGCATTGACTTACAATTATATGGACGTCGGGTCGGCGCTAAAAAGTGTCCGAACTTATAGGGCGTTAAAATCGTATACAGAGCGTCATTCACGCTTTAGTCTTCGTTTGTTCGACTGACAGCGAAGCAAGCAAAATTAGACAGTACTGCGATGACATTACAATTTAAATTGAACGTTTTAGCTTATTCACATTGACTTACAATTATATGGACGTCGGGTCCGCGCTAAAAAGTGTCCGCACTTGTAAGGCGCTAAAATCGTATACAGAGCGCCAAACTCCGCTTTAGTCTTCATTTGTTCGACTGACAGCGCGATACTGCGATGACATTACAATTTAAATTTCGAATAGGTTGACTTGGGACATTTTTTTCGTGGTTTTTGTATTAGACCCGTCGTCCATTTATTTGTAAGTCAATGCTTATTCATATTCCTTTACATGTCACTGCGTTTAAATAGGTTGACTTGGGACATTTTTTTCGTGGTTTTTGTATTACACCCGTCGTCCATATAAATGTAAGTCAATGTAAGTTAGCCTTACTTTCTCAAACTCGTATCTTAAAGCACAAAGTTACTGAAATGCAAAAAATGGATTGTATATACAAATTTTGCAGGCTGATTTTACATCACGTTTCCTTCATATTCACACACTGACTTTTATCTATTCTTAAAGTAATGTATCCAAATTAACACCCTTGTTAAGAAATTTAAAATTAATAGAAAGTTTTGCCATCTCCTGAAACCTTGGTACTTGGTACTTGGTGCAACGGGCTGGTATCCGCAACTCGACGACAAAGCGCCTATCTCCTGAGTGATTGCTCTTTTTAAGATACAAGTTTGAGAAAGTAAGGCATCGATATGAGTTTTCGTGTTATTGGGCATACGTGTGATACTGGACTATTTCACCCTGTTTACTTTTGTCAACTCTGAAATGGACTCAAGTGAGCTCTTTAGCCACGCCTTGTTTGAGTTTGGCAATAAATGTACCCGAATAACTTTTTCTCTGCCATATACCACTAACAAAGTCTCTTAAAATGATCGTCTTTTCCGCATGTTTAGAGCTCATAATGACTTTTGTAAGGATTTGGACATATTCTCCCATAGTCATTATACTGCCTTCGTATTACGGTTTCCATCCTGATCTGCTACGTAGAGATCCCAGGTTCAATTCCCGGGCCGGGAAAAATATTTGTATGGCCTATATTCATTTGTCTCGTGAGTTTGGGTGTAATTTGTGGTTGTGTCTGTACATGGCACCCTCGACACAGGATGTCCCTGTGAGTGTGTGCGTTAAAAAAAATTAATAAGTTGTAAGGCCAAGTAGAATATGTTAAATATTTAAAAATCTTATTTCTTTATATGCACGTGTAACTTGATTTCTTCCTATTGTTTTTTAGTGCAATAGTCTCTTAATTTGTATGTAGGTACATTTATTTACTTCGCAAATCCCGTGCAGTCTTGTACAGTATTTGTCATAGGATACAAATTTACCCCTATTGCTATGCATGTTAACTTTAAATAATTTCACAGTTTGTATTCTGTAAATTTCTGTAGCTATATCATAAATAAATAAAAATAAAATAATGTATGAGAAAGCGGGTTATAGCTTTGATCGATTAAATATGTACCAGTCATGTAGATATTCTCAAATTACATTCACGTGCTAAATTTTTACGCCTAACTCATATGTGTAATGACCGTTATTTATATTTTATATCGATGCGAATTCCACACTTGGCAAATATTAATTTTCTTCAACGACGAAATGTGTTCCCTTTTGGTTAAACGAAAATATCAAAGAAATAACATCGCTCGGGAAGTCTTCCCGCCGCTTTGCCGAAGGGAAATTTCTCACAAAATTTTCTCATCAAAACACTTATCAAGAAGGATACGAAGCAATTACATTTTTCATCACATATCTCATTCGCGAAAAAAATGCACGACCATGTAGCCCAGAGCTCTTCTTCAACATTATTTACTCGCGTATTTTTGTCTTATAAATTGGACAAAAATTGCAAAAAAAGAAAATTGTCCGGCGCGGTCTATTTAAACCTATCGGTCGTGTATCAATTTCAGATATATAATGAATTAGTGAGTTAATCGATTAAAAAAAGATTTTTCCAAACCAGCACAAGAATAGAATTTATTTTTGTATCCTGAAACGCTTTATTTCGCATAAAATTATAGTCTGTCAAAGATCCTTATAAATAAGTCACTATGCTTTATCATACTAGTCTCCAAACTTGAAATGTATTGTGCTTAATTAAGTTTTCAAAGCTACGCTTTATAAGAACGTAAATTATTTACTTCATGCAGTACCAAAACATGACTAAGTTTTGGGAAATACTGCACACCAATTATTACATAAACAAACATAGCATGTAAAGTAATATCGTAATAATAATAATAATGCACACATTCATAGCCCCGCACTAGGGAAACCCTGTGTCTCAGGTGCCATGGACACACACGTAGACAACCACAAATAGCCCACATAAATATTTCTCCCGGCCCGGGAATCGAGTCGGGACCGCTGCGTGGCAGTCCAGCATGGCAACCGTTCGGCCACCGACGCAGTTGAATAAATAAGATAATGCTACACAAAGTTATCATTAATTTAAACAGTTGTATCAAATTATTGACACTTTTATATTTAATTTTGTTGAACCCAATTATATTCCACACAATGACACCAGAACAACGAAATTAACACTGCTCTACCCCAACCCCATGAAACAAACGTAAATTCAAGACCTCCCCATTCAACGCCGACACTTTGTTAACCGCTCAACCATTCGCAGTACAGTCAGTAACACGAATTTACTAATTGACAACCGACGTTTAAAATATCTTTCGTTTGCAGGGTCAAAGTATCAGCGTCTGGATGACGGTTCCCTGTACATAATGACTGTGAGAGCGAACGACGCACACAGCCGGTTTCGATGTCGAGTCAAAGACCGTGTCACCGGCAATGTATATTCTAGCCAATACTTTGGTAAGTTTCATTTCTATTTTATACACGTTGTTTTTTAAATTACACTCCCGGACCCATAATTGGAGCCATCTTGCGTTTTTATTTTTAAAATACTTGAATATAAAAATATTGTTAAGTATTCCCAGGATATGACGTTTAGTAGATATATCAGCTCCCAAATTGTATTAATAGTTTTTGACCAATCAAATATTATTTTTAAGCTTATGGCATTTTATACTGAAAATACAAGGTGGCACAAATTGTGGACCGAAGTATATTTAACGTGTGTTGCAATAAATTATATGATTGAACATCACAATGTTTTTACTACGCAGATATTCATATATTTGTCGTGAAAATACTCCACTACATTGGTGTTATTATTGATACAAAAGGTCGAACAAACACAAAGAAAATTGCCTTCGATCCGGCTGGATTCTAACCACCGGTTGTTTGCCAGACAGAGGCTAACCGCTCTCCCAACTAATCTTACGAATTTCTGTATACGCTTGTTGTCAATCTTTGTTTTTGGGTTTAAGCAAAGATTAACGTTAGTTAGTTAGTTGTTCTTCAAGCCAATGAAATACCTGTTTGCTTAATGATTTAATCAACCAAGTGGGCTTATAAATTAAAGCGCGTTCTTCTCACAGGTCACATAATAGTGACCGAGCCAAAAGGTGGCGTGCGGCCACGCGTGGCGGTGGAGCCGCGAGCACGGCGCGTGCAGGTTGGACAAGATGTAAAGTTACCGTGCGCCGCTCACGCATGGCCCGTACCAACATACAGGTAATACTACTTATAGTAGCAATAGCTGAGCATATTCGTAGCACTGCTATAGGAGGATGTAAGATATTTGGCGCCCTGACTATGGTGCGTGAAAGCCGGGCATGGCGTAAAAGTTCCGTGCACTTACGCGTGGGCTGGGCCTCACGTAATACTGTTGACAGTAGCTAAAGCTAAAGACGGATTTACGTAATAAGAATAAAAATCAAATAAATGAAGAGTGTTAGTCGTCTATTCTTCTTGAAATTTTCTTCCTATCTTCATATTCATAAAAAATCTGTAACCTGTGGCTTATTAATTGGTTACTGGGTCTATATTTCTTCTAAAGACTTCATTAGATAAATGTTAGCATTTAGTAAGATTAAACGCAAATCTCACAGATCCCAATCTGTTTCAAAGTGCATTTTAAAACCCATTTTAACCTGCTATATGACAAGTATACAGCTAAAAGGTTTCACAAGCTCTATACTGAGCAAACAAACGCTAGCACAGAAAGAGCCCGGGGACGCTTTTCAAGCCCCATCGCAGTATAAGTAATCTTAAAAGTGAACTTAGATTGCTATATATTGTAATTAGCTAAGAAGTTTCACAAAATCGAATAGAATACAGATTCCTAGATTATGAATATTTCAAGCAAGTTCTTTTAAGTTTTTTTTAACTTAAATATTTATTAGATTAATTTATAGTAATTCGCGCCAAATGCGGGAAATTTAATAATAATAGCAACTTGAGACGGTTGGATTTCTGTGGCGTGTCGTTTCCAGCACAAATGCAAAAAGCGTTCCTGCCCGATACGGCACGTATTGTTCCTCGGTTCTTGAACCGGAGTCCCTGAACCCGGCCGACTGTGCTATTACTGTTAACTGTGTATTAGTGCTTAAATAAATAAAACTCAAAGATATTCAACAGACACGATCTAGAAAGCTACATCGAAGGTCATAATAGGTTATTTTCATGTCAAACAATGTGTATTAAAAACTGCAGACTAGACTTAGACTCAAAACCTTGCAAACGACACAAATAAATATTTAAAAGGACGTAAAGGGCATTTCAAGACAATACAATACTGAAAAAATGTTATACTAGAAAAGTAATTCATCATCATCATCATCGTTTCAGCCGACACACGTCCAATTCTGAAACGCCAAGGTTTTAAGCTGGCGCTTTGTTAATGGCCGGGTTTAAATCGGATTAAAAGTTATTAACGCCCAAAGTAAAGGGCAAAACCTATTTACAATTAAATGTGTGTTGTAAATTGAGTTTTGTTCAAACTGAATAATATTATTGCAAAACATTCATCGCTTTCTGATGTAGACAATTCGATTTGCCTTTCTATTGAATCGATTCGCTTGAACTCACGTTGAAATAAATCGATACAAAAAATCGTTAGATCGTATGAAGTTGAATCGACTGTCATAAGTGTGCATCCTTTACAGCATTTGCGCATTACCTCCGATTCGTATCAGTTCGGAATCCGAGAAAGACAGCCCGAAATATCACAGGGACCAGTTTATATCTAAGTGCGCCAAAGCGACAACAGTGAGAATTTTTTTTACGGCGAATATCGATATTCGCCATTTCTACCCACGATTTTGGGTAAAAGATCGGTTATAACCAGGGCAGGTTGATTGGATTTTAACCCACTGCCCATCTCGTAACGTGCCCTCCGCGAGGCCTAGAACTCCTAACAAGTTTATAAAAAGTAAGTGTGTACTGTTACGAGTGTGTTTCTACGGCGGCCGAGGCTCTCTGGGTACTCCAACATTACGCGAACGACGTGTAATCGCCATCCAACACTGATCCATTTAAAAAGTTCCACGAATATAAAGCTCATACTCTTATACGCTTACCAAAATTCATATTCGAACGATCGAATGGCGTTTTATGGTGCACTCATGTAGATAACTACGGATTTGGATTTTTATCTAAATTTTACAAGGATTTCATGTTATGCTTTCACAGCACTTGAGATTTTGCTTGGATTTGCTACAGGAACTTCGGATATGGACTATTTCAGAAAACTTGAAAAATGTGTTTTCTTTTTTTTTACTAGGTAAACAACTTGAAACGTTTACACACTACTACTCATTCGTTATACAGATTCGTAAGAAGAATTAGTTGCTCTTGCGAAATTGAACACTGGCTGACTGACTCAGCTTTGACCATGGGAAAAAAAATAAATAGATGCTGACAAGCAATAATGTGTCACCCACATGATCATAGTTTTGCGAAAATGGCACCTAAAGATTATTTGGTTGTTTTTAATAATTTGTTCTAAAATTTATTTCCAAAATGAAAACGTTTGCTGTTGTCGCCTTAGAAACGATGAGTTGTTGTGATTTGTTACTATTATTCTCCAACATCAACAAGCACAACTGCAAAAGTTTTAATGTAATAAGCAAATTTTAAAAGGGGCTACCAAAATTAACGAAAATGTCTTTCAATACCATTTTCGCAAAATTATGATCATGTTGGTTCACACATTATTGCTTATTAGCATCCAATACGGGATTTAGATCCGAAAACAAAAATAGTTTCATTACCTATGTGTATGTAACAATCGCGAGAACCACAGACATATATATCTAGATAGACGCCGCAAGTACAGCAATTTGTATGAAAACCGAGCGTACCACTTTTTACATATGTATCCATCATGACGGGAAACCCCTTCCGCGCTAAATCAATTGATTGAACGGAATACACGTATTCCATTCAATTAATCGATTCAAGTATTCGTTGATTACAAGTAGTCGTGAAATATCAATAGAGTAGAAAAATACCAAAACAAGATAGTTGTCCTTTATTAAAAGTTGTTTTTATAAATTTTGATTACTTAATAATTTAACTTTAATTATTAATCAACTTGAAATATTAAAATTATTCTCCTTGAAATAATATAAACTTATTATATAACTGTCTTTTTGTAATAGAATATCTTATCGATTCATTCGTATCAGTCATATTCGATTCATGCCATATGAACAAAGGATCACAAATATATCGCACCAAGTAAAAGCTGCAATGTATTACAAATCATGAGGCATACACTAGGTTGCATATTTGTTTTCTCGAAATTCATACAAAACCAAAATAATTGTTTTTAAAATAAATTATGCATCTTCTGATTACAAAATCACTTGCCCATGGATGGAAACGTCCCTGTTTACCCGTTTACCCACAGTTATGGTGCTTTTGCAGTTTATAATGGCACAATTATGCATTTTTCGCGTTTTTGACTGGTGTTTATCTACGATAACGGTCGAGCGCGTTCTAAAGTGTAGCAGCGGCAAGTAAGTGAATTTCACTTACTTTAGGCGCGCGAAGTACGTACACTTGCGGCGTCTATCTAGATATACATATGTCTGTGGCGAGAGAATAGATATTTGTTCAAATAATATTTATTTAAAGATATTACACTTAGAAAAAACCTTAAAAAGTTGAGCTAATCACTCCTAAAAATTTTTATCATGCATGTACGCAGAAACTGCATACCTTTTGCGTAAACTTTTTGGTTCACTTCAGTTTTTTCTTCTGTTAGGTACTTTTATTGAAAATGTTCTTGACAGTCGTCGTCATAAATTAATTTACGCGGCATGGTGTACCCTTTTATAACAATATTCCTCTCGTATTGAAAATTCGCCATTTAAGAATCGATACTACCTCACCCCGAATTCAAATTTTTCCCGTACTATTTTTACCGCACGTTTTCACTGCCTTTATTTCAGAATTTATTTTTTATAAACGATGTTAAAGCCATTTGAAAAATGTATATCGTATAGTATACGTCTTCTATTTAGCTCAGTTGATATAAAAAATCATTGGCATATGTAAAGCACCTATTAAATACAGCGGTTTTCTTGTAAAATTTGAAAATAAGGTTTTATCTCGTGAAAATCGTGAAAATTTTTTGGAATCGTGTTTTCACACCATATGGTAATCAGTGTACATCCTCAATTTTTCCACGGTGATTGATTGGACACTTTCACTGTTATCCGGAATTAACCAAAAGCCATTTGGCGTTGAATAGACGCTTAAACTGTTTAATTACGATGAAACTGAAGCTTTGCTTCATCCGATTGCGTGACTCAAGTACCTATTTATTTATTTATTTTTGGAGCTTTGAGTAGAGTAGTATCTCTATATGTATATGTATATATATATCCGTAACTACGCACACGCGCGCACACACACATACACATACACACACATACACAAACACACACATAATACAACACGCACTCATAGTCAAATATCTTTTACGTGCAAAAAAGTTTTTAAATTTAATTTTAATTTAAGTTTGATCTTTTAGGTGTATATAGTTCAATAATGTCAAATGTATTTTTTCACTATTTAAATGTTCTTCCTTTATAAACAATTAATCTTAGTAATACCTTAAGATTGTCATGTGTCATTTCCAAGGGTGAGAGCCTGGTGACTTGTAGTACAGGCGTTAAGCCTTTAACAAGCACCAGCTCCCAAAAATAAGTTATTGCATGTATCTTAAATTACTAAGAACTATATGTACGTATTTTTGTGGAGGAATAAACGTTATTATTATTATTATTTAAATTTACAGACACAAGTGGTTACAATACGTGACTCACACAAACACGCAAAACCTCAATTTCAATATTAATTGGAATGCATTTGTGAGTTAGTCTAAAATAAACAAACGTACGGAAAGGTGTATTTCTATTCTTTAACTAAATACATAAGATTATGAACCTTATTACGAAACCTTACGTACACTAATGTAAGAATGTTAATTTCTTTAAAGTTATCTCGCTGCAACCCAATTTGTAAATTAACTTGACAGCACGCTTCTGCAGAAAAAAAACCATTACAGTCGGTGGCAATTCATTTTATTAAACAAATTTATTATCTACCTTTTTTCATTTAAAAATATTTAATGTATAATTGCAACCTCTTCGGAAATAGCGTTATTCAATAAAAATGGTAAAAAAACTCCAGTTCTCTCAGAACACTACGAGTATTCTACA